TGGACCACTCCGATTTCAATTAAAAATCTATTTTCACGCAAATAGTTTTTTGGGAGAACCAGAACCAGAGCTCCAAGCTCCCAGCCCCAAATGTCCCAGGACCCAAGACCGAAATGGAGCCACGAGCACGTGCCCGTGATGGATGGACTCTGGTCGCGACATCGTCGTGAAATGGACCACGTCCGCAATGCATGTAAATGAAGAAGTTCCTGTCGAGCGTTTGGTTTGGGGGAAAAGTGAAAATGCGGAAAGGTGTATGTTTGCTAGAATGCTAGAATGGAGTCCGATAACAATGTTCTGGAACATGTTGCTCATACGCCACGTTGTCAGCGGTCTGCTTAGTGTCTGTCCGGCCCACTTTCACTGCCACCCCCACTACCACTACCACTACCTCGTATTTGTATCTGCATTCCCATCCGCATCCGTATCTGTGTCCTGCGTTCGCATTGTTTTCCAGCTGAAAATGCCGCTGTCGCAGCCGTAGAATGTCCGGCAAATGTCGCCAGCAATTGCGCTCCGCCGGCTACAACAACTGAGTTTTCCCCTGCCCAGGACCCTTCGGTCCACATATTACCCAGATGGCTATTGCAAAGGGGCTGGCCGATGCCAACGCACCGACACACATCTTCCATTTGTCTCGCCCAGTCAGCCCCAGTTGCTGTCCAGCTATTAGTGGGCTTAAGTCGTCTTAAAGGCCCTTCGATTGGCTGCTACACCATTTATTTTCGCATACCTTTTTGGGAGTTGCACAAACTGCATTTGGTGTGGAAATACCGAATAAAAGTGTACATAAGTCGAACAAAAAAAGAATAAAGACTCACTGCACAGTTGCGGTGGGCATATGTTTAAATATTTAACGAAAGATAACATTAGAAATAAATATGTACACTTGAAAGTTCTTCAGTAACGAGTTAAATATTAAAAAGCATAATTCAATTAAGCGCAACTGTTTAAGCAAGTTTCCCAAATACCATAAAGACACATTAAAAACTTTTTAAAAACAATAGTTACTGATAAAGTTTCGAAGTCTTCATTACGAAAAACTTGCGACTGCAGCAGCTTAAAAAAGAACGCGTTCACCTTGCTTTAAGAACGAAACGAGTGCAACGGAATGCGAACCGGATGTGTGGGCGGTGGTGGGTGGTGGGTGGTTGTGGGCGTGGTCGTGGTCGTGGTTGTGGGTGGGCGATGCGAAAAAAAACACCAGCAACACCACCGCCCCCTTGTCTGATTTCAGCGCGCCTCCTCTGTGTCCTTGTTGTGTCATCAGCGACGCTGCGGCTGCGGTTAATATGTTGGCCGATGTCCAGTTGCTGTAATGCATCCTCTTTGCCCCGATGTTGCTGCTCCTCCTCCTGCTCTCTACCATTGTTGTTGTTGTTGCTGATTGGCGGGCCATCCTTAAATGTCAATGGGACGTCATGATAATCACGTCTGGCGCTGAATTCCGTATGTCGATAAACACTTTGGACTCCTCGTTCTTCTGCTGATGCTGCTGCTGCTGCTGCTGCTGCTGCTGCTTGTTGCCGCCGGGCAGGATCGTTGTCTGTCCCATGGCTGCTCCATGCCCCTTCATCGCGGGCAAACGTGCAGCAATACTCGGCGGATGCGGATGTGCATGGTGCATGCGCTGCTGCTGCTGATGCTGCTGCTGTTGCTGCTGCTGGTGCTGGTGATGATGGTGACAGATCTCCTGCGGCTGCTTGGCCGTCGAGGTCACCAGCAGGCCGCCGTAGTGCGAGCGGCCGCTGTGTCGCTCCTCCATCTCCATGGACTCCTGGCGCGGCATCTGCGGATGTTGCTGCTGCTGCTGGTGCATGCTGCGCCTTGTCAGCGTTGCCACCGCCGGCGATCCCGATGGCTCATAGCCAAAGGTGGAGAAGAAGCGCGGTGGCGGGGGCGGCATCATCATGGCCCCGCCCCCAGTGCCGCCACCGCCGCCCAGCGAGGAGGAGCTGGACTTTTGTCTCATTAGCGTGGCAACACCGCCCCCGGGAGCGACGGCAATACCAATGCCAACAGCAACACCAACACCCGGACCCGCCGACGGTCCAATTCCGGGACTGTTGACAAACAGCGATTCCCTGAGGTGAGCGGAGCAGAGAGTGGAGAGTGGAGAGCAGAGAGAGGAGAGAGGAGAAAGTGGGAAGAAAGCAAAGTGAAAGGTTTTAATATTTGTCAGTCACACACGACGGCAATTGGTTGCGGGTACACTGCAAGAAACCAGATTTTAGTAACACAGCTCAAATACTTCTAACGAGATCCCACCTATAGAAATCAAAGCACCCGCCAAAGTATGCCAAAGTATGTTTTTTGTACAACATTTTGCGAACTAATTACTAGTGTTTTTCTCCAAGTGTGACTTAGAGGCAATGGTTAGCACAAAGGTGATTGTGCAGCCGCGGGACAGGGATTGTGGGACAATTGTGAGCTCCAATCAGCTGAATTGAATCCGTCAGATGGCTTTCACAGCCATATGGTCTAAAAAGCGGTTCCCGTTAACACTTCTAACTCTTTGGCAGTGCTGACCAGTGACCAACCGTATTAACCAAATTCGATTTCACTTTAAATGTTCAAAATGCAACTCAGTAGTTAGTATTGTTACTGGATATTGGGAGAAGGAAAAAAAATCATTGTAATAGAACTTAGGAAAGCAATTTGTTTATTTAATTACTCAATCAAACAAAAAAAATTAAATACACATTTACAAGGCTGGTGGCTTAATCTATGTGTCCTTTGTTTGGGGCATAGGTACATTTGAAATTAGAAAACATACATTCCATACATTTAAAGCATTTAAATAAGTACGTTTCCGGTCATCAATTGAGTGCAGAAATACAACGTAAATTCAAAAAATCACAAAACAATTGCATATTCAAAACAAGTTAGCTTCAGAAGATAAAGCAACCATTTAAATCCATTGTTTTTGGTGCCTTGTATCTTAATAAAAATCCCTCTAATCCGCGGCATTTAAATCTGTTTGTGCTCATGCGTACACTGTCAGACATTGATAAATGCCAACCCTCTAATAAATCACCCCGAACAACCTGTAGCAGTTTGGCTGTGACAGTGACTGGTTCCCATCACTATTTGGTGGCATGAATCATCTTCATCTGGGCACGTCGGCATTGTGTCACTGCATTCCGCCTGTCGCCCCCGCCCCGCCTCCGCCTTTGCGCCTATGCATGTCTGCCTGCCTGGCTGTCAGCCCCGCCCACCAATCCACCATTCCAACAACCCACCATTTTGCTGGCATTATGGCATCATGGCATCCTGGCATCCTGCCATCCTGCCGTCCTGCCATTCCGCCATCCTGCTAACCCACATTCCCGAATCCAGCAACTCCAACGTTGCAGGACCTGTCGCTATATCCAATAAAGACGCATGCAAATACAAATATTTGCATCGATTTGTGTTGTTCGAGCGACGTACATACACATATACATGTATGTATGTACATATAAACCAGTAGACCCCCACCCGGGCTGTAACTTCCTGAATTCCAGGGCTTAAGCCCGGCTCCACATTGTCATTGTTTTTAGTGTTTGCCCGCCGTTGACTTTGCAATTTTCTGGCATCTATTTGACTTCACACACAGTGTCGATTGGGATGGGAACTGGTGCTGGGAGCTGGGAGCTGGGATTGGAACTGGGTCTGGGTCTGGGTCTGGGACTCACCTCGTCTGACAGCCCATATCGCAGGCATTGGAGGGCACCGTCGACATGGCCGCCTTTGTCATCAACTCGTGTGTGGCCGTGGTCGTTGATGAGGATTCGCCATCATCCTCGCCAACGCCGCACAGACTGGTTTGGGTCATGTCCGCATGGCGGCGCAGGATGCTGTGCTCCTTCTCCTTGAAGTCCGCCTTGCTGGACTGCGTCGACAGTGGAACCGCCTCGCGATAGTATCGGTTGGACACATCATCCAGGATCTGCAGCGACGTCTGCGAGTGCTTTTGCCTGCAGCCGGTTGGAAACATATAATTACTTGAGGTACTTTCAGCCGCCTTCTTTTATGGGCATTTTCCTAACTTATTAGGTTATTTAGGTCTTCGACATTCTGAATAACAATCCAGATAGATGGAGCAGACTCACCTGGATATGTTCTCCCGCGAACGACCCTTGGAGTTGCGGCCCATCTCGTCCAGCTTGCTCTCCTTCGACTCTCGGATGTGCTCCTGCAGGGAAACCAATGCGAATCGATTGGACGAAGGGGAGCGAGAGAGAGGGAAGAGACCGATGTAATAAGCATAACAATAAATATTTTCAATTAATTTGGTAAGGAAGGGAGGCGGGCTGGCCACCGAGCGGGCTTAAGCTCGATGCTCGTATCGAGAGTGTCTGTAACATAATATCCTTAAAGCCCACTGCACTGTGTGTAATGGGATGGGCTGGAAAAGGGGCGTGGTTGAATAATTAAGCCAGCTGCCACCTGATGACGCCTCCCCCCTTGTTTCCCTCTTCCTCTCTCTCTCTCTCACTCTGTCACTTATGCATTCATTAATACTTCGATTTTGGCAATGTGTATGTGTTTCATGGCAGGGGATGGGGGAGAAGGTCAGGAGGCTTAAATCCTCCGGGAAAGACACTTGATGGCCTGCATAAAGGGAAGCGTTAATACGTAAATACAAAATAATGAAGGACGAACTGCATCCGCCAGGCAGCAGGCAGCACAGCGAACAGCCACTGGAAATCTCGATGGCCACCAACCACCCAACTGAAACCACCTCAACTTGCATTCATAATGAAATGCAAGGCAAACATTGCGTGCACCTTTCAGTCCCCCTTGCCAATTTTTTTTTATTGTACAATAGTCCCCCATTCAAATGGAATGTAATGGAAAAATGAGAAAAGTTCGATGCAAATCGCTAAGGAAATTCAAGCCAAATAAATCAGGCGAGTATCTTTATCTTGCGGTTGCGGCTTCATTCGTCTGACCAAATGCCAACAAGTAATTGGCTTCAAGAGTTAAGAGTCAAATGATCCCACGGTACACATTTCATTTTGTTAGATATTTATTTTTCATATATATATATCGTTATATACTCGTATATAGCTCTTGTGCGGTATTAGTTTGGCAGCCATTCGTTTAGCCAACAGTTAACTATTTACTTAGCTTTGCATTGCACGATTGTCCGTCCAATGAGAACATTAAATTATTACAATTTCAATCGCTACTTAGGGTTAAGAAACGTGGATCAAAGGGCTCTGTAAAATGATTCGCTTTTCAGTTGCGCCATTACGCATTTCATTGCTTTTCAATGCTCAGCACTCGTTTTATTTTGATTTATATTTGATCCACCTTGGTTGCATAATTTTCCGCATTATACTTTCGATAAACTGTAAGCCTTTTAATGAGGTTATATCCATAATACTGTTAACTATGTTCGCCCAATGTCGCATTGAGTATTCCTACCTAAGAGGGGTATATCTATGATATAGTCCGCCACACAATTAGCAGCTTAACTAATGAGGGGGAGATTTACGCCGAACTGCAAATCCCCCCAAGGACCAGGATTTGATTTTGTTCTGATTTCTGGTTTGTGGTGAGCTCAGCACGAACTACGTGGGCAAAGTGAAGGTCGGGCCACACGGAAAATGCGTTCGATATCGCATCACTTCTCTTCTCTTCTGCTCTCTTTTTTTTTCAGTTTTTTTTGCGTTTTTTGCGAAAATTTGGCCTGCCCGATTTTAATGATGTCGATGCAGATTTGCATACAGCAGCAGCAGGTGGTCACCGAACCACCATCAACGCCGCAGAACGTGAGAGAATGAATTTCGAATGAGTTTCTTTCTAGATGATTTTGTGCAGGAACTTGAGGGGATGAACGCCGGACTTGGGCTTGGCCAGTGTTGGTGGCGGTGGCGGTGTTAGAACCATGTCCAGCTCCATGGAGGTGGAGGAGCTAGTAGCCACCATTCCGCCACTAGACCCGCTGCTGCAATGCATCGAACTGCTGCACGAGTGACTGGAGTTGCTGGGCAGACATTGTCCGGTGACCAGGACAAACTCGTCATCGTCTTCGGGCAGTGTGAGTCCGCTGTCGCTGTCACAACTGAAACCAATGCCATCGTCGTACTCCTGATCCTCCACCTGATGCTCGTGCTCTTGGTCTTGCTCCTCCTCCAGCTCCTCCTCATCGTCTTCCTCCATATGCTCGCCCTCGTCCACATCCAAATCGAAATCACAGTCACACGTCTGCTTGGGCGAGTCCATCTGCGAATCAAAGTCCGAATCGCCACCAACTGTGGCCAGCTCCTCTCGGGTCTCATGCGCCACGTTGGGCGCCATTTGCCCGTCCGATGAATAGGAGAAATCGCACAAGAAATCATTCTGTAATCCCACGAAAATCGCGCTCTTGGGCGCTTCCAGTATAAAGGAATCAATGTGATAGATTCCGTCACTCAACGCGGGCACGTCCTGTGGATGAAGCACAAACAGAAAGAGAAGACAGGCAGAAGAGAGAGAGAGAGAGAGAGAAAGGGAGAGATAAAGATTGAGTAGAGAGAGAGAGAGAGAAAGAAAGAGGGAGAAATAGATAGGAAGAGAGAGAGAGAGAGAGAGAAGTTGATAAAGACAGAGAAAGAGTGTGAGCTTTTCACATCACCGATTTAACCAAGAGAAGTTTGAGAGGAGACAACTCTAGAGCGAGACAACTCTACTTATGCATGTGGCAATGGGTGTGTGAGCGAGCGTGAGCGAGATAGCTAGAGGAGGGTGTGCGTCACTTGCTACATGCAATACGATGGCAACTCTGGCTACTTAATAAGCATAATCAGGACAGTCAAATGATAATATGCATTTTATCAAATGCGGTTTAAGTTTGTCAACGTATAAATTGTTTATTCAAGGACCAAGTCAACAATTGAATAATCTAATGTAATAGTTTTTGTAATGTAATTATCTGTTCCTAAGCCTCAATGACAAAAATGAACACCTCTGGAATCAAACAGTAAGCTCCAGCTGTTAAATCATCTTGCTTCGCTTAGAATTTTAGGAATTTCAAACAGGTTTCAATGTATCAATTCAAAGCAATTGTATCAATACAGATCAGGAATGGTTTATATAGATGTGCAGACATCTCTGTATAAATTGCATTGAAAAATATGGAAAATATAAATGCAACTCAGATCATTTTTCAATACCAAAATGGTAGCCAAGGCAATTGCCTCCACACAAAAGTATTTCTGCAATATGCAGACAATAAGTCCCCAACGAATCCCAGCAACTAATCAGATTTAGCCGAGGGGAGCAGCCCCATGCCAAGCGACTACCACCCGATTACCACTCCGGTTGTCTTCGATTCGATTGCTGGCAGCTGGGGACTGGTGCAACAAAAGTCAACGATAATTTAATCATGTCTCTCACTGGATTTCCTGGTAGTCAAGACAAAGACCGAATGGACACAAAGCCTGAAGGCTAAGCCTGTGCGAGAACTCAATCCGGTGGACGGCAGTGGGTAGCAGGAATAGTTTATTCCATTTGGATTGTATTGTCAACGATTTGCCACTTGCAGCTCGGCCAATTTGTGGGTTGGCACTGCACACTTGGCGTATGAGTGATATGCAAATGACTATCCACTTCAGTAGAAATAAAACTCAATTTGCAAGAGTTTGTGCCATAATTAATAGATATCATTGCACCAGATTGCAGCTGTCCTGTCATTAAACACACACAGGGAGCGGACGGGAAAGAGACGCAGAGAGTTGGGGCAAAAGAGACATGTATAGATGTATCGAAAGAGAAGAATAAGAGGAGATGGGGCCACAAAGACGTGACAAGTTGTGCCTTCTGGGCCTGCTGATGATGGCCATCAAGTGAGTTTGTCTGTCTCTGATTCTGTCTGCTTTTGTTTGGCCTTGTTCTTCTCCCCATGACCCCATGCCCCCATGACCCCTGCCCACTTTCCGCCTCCCATTTTCCAAGTCTTCTTTTCCGGCCTTCCGTTTGCGGCCTACAGCTAAATTACTTCGGCCAGTCCATCCCTGCCCTTTGTGGCTGCACTTTTTACAGCTCTCTCAAACACTTTCAAAGTTTGGAGAAAAGCATTTAAGAGTCATTAAATCATTCTGCGACTCATCGAATCAGAACTTTATTTCGCAGCGTGTCCATTATAAATGCCTTAATACTCGTACAAGCGAAATTTGTGAACCTGTGTGTAATTAGAGAAGTTAAATAAACTTATTATATGCCATTCAAATATAATAGTAATTGATCATTAACGCAGTGAAGCACAAAGCTGAGAACAGGCTTGCTTATCAGGATCCAATTTCCTTATTTAAAATCAGACACTTCTTTATTTGAGTTTGATTAAGGCCTTAAAGATACTGCTTGTCTGCAGGGGTATTTGCAGCCCAGAGCATTTGCCCCATCACCCTGACCCACAAATCCAATTGTCTTCTGCCCTCCCAATATTCCCACGAACTCGTAAATTTCAGTATTTGATTAGTGAGTGGTTTTTGTCAGAGGAAACTATGCCACAAGTGCATATAATCAAACCGCAGGGTAGATTTCCCTTTCAAAACGTTTTGGGTGGGGCTAGCTTTGATGTAGTTTAGTTGAGCCTAGTTAATTTCTTTGCGATAAATTCCCGATTGTTTGCTGATTTGGTATTAATTCCCAACGCTTTGTGCCAATTAGGGGGCAAATCAATGGTGTTCGCAGTTTAATTGGCCAAACTAATTGCGTAACTATGAATTTTCAGTTGAATCGTTATGGTTGTGCCTAATAGCCTTGTCCAAATATGGCCATCGTTATTTAATAAAAATCTACGGAATATTTTTACCAAATATTGTTTGCCAACATACACGTATGTGCAGTTATATAGGTGCGCGTATATGAAAATGTATATGTATGTGCGAGTATGTACTCGTACACATCTGTATGTGTGAAAGTTTTTGGTTTGCGCTCTGATGACTTCTGCCTTTTTGGCAGGCTCCAAAACCCAAAAATCTGGCGAGAGACAGACGAATGGAGTGAGCGCAAAGTTTGGCATTTGTTTAATTGGAATTTTTGGGGTTTCGAGGAGTGTTCACCTTTTGCGCAGGGTGCTCGAGGGCAATTTCGAAAATTAACTTCGAACAACTTGCCTCTAATCAGCACCCATCCCCAAATATAAAGATACAGATATAGATGTAGATGTAGATGTAGATGCATTGATATATGTGGTGTATATCTATTGACTTCCTGTGAGCATCCTGTCCACATCCTGTCGACATCTCAAACCGGCAGCGAATCTGCATTTGATGCTCGCAGCTTCCATTGTTTGATTGGCAGCCATTTGTGAAATATTCTGCTCCGTTCGATTGCTTTTAATGGCCAAATCATATTTTATGATTATTGACAATCGTTGCCAGTATGCAAATGGGCAGCAAGGAAATGGAAATAAATTTCCCCGAAATTTGATTGCCGGCCCATAAAGCGTGACGAGCATCTTTATCGATATTTTCCGCAAAAAATAAAGCCTCAATTTTGAAGTCCTGTATGTGCACTTGTGATTTCGCCCAACTGGCGCTTAATTATGATTTTTTCCAGCTAATTGGAGTCTGCTTTACTTGCAGCCCAAACCGCAAATGGAATGGGGTGGCAAACATTAATCCGAATGGAAAAAGGATGCCTGGGGACCTTTAGGGGAGTTGTCCCTACCAAAAATGTTGCGGTTTGCCGGTTGATTGAGTGGCTGATTGAACGCCTGATTGACTCGCAGATCGATCTACTGAATTCCTGGCTGCCACCGAGACGTGCAACATTAAGTGGCACGCCCACGTGTTAAGGCCCCAGCCGGAGGCATTTCACTTCGCATTAAGCCCCACGCTTTTCACTTAGCCCCATCTTGTCTGGCCCGGGAATTCACCATCGGAACTCTCAACTCCTTGGCATTATTTTATGGCTCCGGTCTGAGTGTTTCTTCGGCGAATTGCATTTCAGCTTGATTTATTTCATTTCATTTCATTTCGCCAATGCAGCCAGTGTCCAGCGGCACCGAAGGAGGCTAAGGAAAATTGATGGCAGCGAAAGAAATACGGTTAGCAACATAAGTTGGTTATTACTTGCTGCTTAAAGCCATTGGACTCCAGCACTCCAAAACGCAGCCCACTGCTGCACTCAAAGAAAACTCCACTTAATTAGCAGCCAAGCGTCAAAGGGAAACCTGCAGCTCTAAATGAGAGGTATGTGAAAAATTCATTCAAGAAGATGGAGAAATTTAAATGGAAGCTTTCATCGATAAGGTTTGAGCTCTCAACTTAATTCCCCACAAAATTTGGACAGATTCGAAGTTATCCTTGGCAAAATCGACCAGTGGCACCCAGATTACTCTAAAGCATCTAAAGTAGGCTTGAATAATTAAAAGTTGCCTTTGAAACAGGCTTATAAATGGCCCTTCAGCAGGCAAGCTGCGTAAATGCACTCGAATGAACTTGGAAAAGTGTGTTCTTTTCACACCCCCACGCACCGAGCTTCGACTTATTCTTCGAGTGTACTCCACTCGTCACTCCGGCCGGGAATCTATCTGTGCGCCAGTGTGTGCCGACTGGTGAGAATTCGCTTCAGTTTCGAATAAAATATTGCATTTCCCCAATGCATGACATGGCTCCAGCTCCAGCTTCAGCTTCAGTTTTAGCCTCGGATTCAACTTCTCCAACTGGGAGACTGGCTACTGGGCACTGGTTGTGTTTCTGGTCCAGGTCCTGTGTTCCTGCTCCTGTTCCTATACTCCGCCTTGGATCTCCCGCATCCTGGCAGGCTCTGCCTTTCGCCTCTCGCGTTTAGCCCCCAGCTGAGGGCCAGATAAGCCGTCCAAGTCCACCCTCTCCCCCCTCCCCTCGTTTTCCACCATACCCGGGGCACAACCTCAACAACCCCTTGCTGCGCCGCTACCCCTCCCCCACCCCGTCGCTCCTGGCACCACGCATGAGAGCTGCGACTGGCGGAAATGGCAGTTTTTCCATTACGACTGCCAGGCCACGCTCTTGGGGGCCTCTTCAACTGGCCGACACTTGGCGGACTCCTCCGGCTTTTGGGGGCTTTGGCCTGCCTGCCTGCCTGCCTGCCTCCATTGCCTTCTTCCGCCTCTGCCGTCCCTTTCTACGCTCGATTGCCCCGTCTCGCTCGCGTATTACTTAATTTTTATGAAATATGAAACACACAACAACAGCAGCACGACGGCAGCAACAATCCCATTTCGAGCAGCGACAGTTGCACTTGGAAACAATGAGAAGTGCCATCAAATTTAGCTAAAATACATTCTCGACGGAGCTTAAAATAATAAAACAAGGCACTCGCAAGGGACTCGCTTGTGGGGCGCCGCACATTAGCTACCCTAGAAAAATGCCACATCAACTAGATGTAAATTTAAAATTGTTCACTCTTTCTTACCTTCAGATAAGAAACTGTACACACTGACTTGAATTTAATTGGAA